TCGTTGCAAGAATTCAAAATGTTGCTCCAAATGTCATATCCACACATTGTTGCATACACAGAGAGGCTTTGGCAATGCGTAAGATGCTCGCTGATCTACAGAAAGTTCTGGATGAAAGCGTGAAAATCATTAACTACATTTTTTTTAATGTAGATATGAGGGCTACTCAGCGTTTTTTATGAGGGGTACTCAGCGTTACGAAAATTATAGAGGGGGTACACGTATGTCAAAAGTTTGGGAAACACTGCTTTAAAATAAGAAGAGCAAGGCTGTAAAGCAGAGGTGTCCAAACTTGGAAACTTTTAAGACCTATGGACTTCAACTCCCAGAGTTCTCTAGCCAGCTTGCTGCTGGGGAATTCTGGGATTTGAAGTCCACAAGTCTTAAAGTTGCCAAGTTGGGCATCCCTATTCTAAAGAAATCGCCAAGAAATACTCCCGCTAAATTAAAACTTCAATTCAATCATAATTTCAGCTGTTAGTGCCTTCCATCGGGCCCAAAGTCCCCCCGAGATGACTTTGGGTGAGACCTATTTTGGATTCCACCTTTGCCCTGAACTCTATGACTGCCCCCCCAAAATCTTTGACCCCGGACAGCTAAGTCCCTTTGCTCAGTTTATTTGTTAGAATTATATCCTGCCTTTTCTCCGGCAGCGCAAACTGACTCACAGAAGAATCTTCCTTCCACTTATTCTCCCAATAGCAATTTGGGGTGACAGGAACTCGCCCAAAAATTATGTAGAAAATTTCCTCCGCTAAAGATGGAAACCCCGTCAGCTCGCCTTAAGGAAATGAAGACAGAAGGCCTCAAGCATCCCCCGTTCAGGTTGAGGTATTTTTTTTTAATAATAGAAAAACAGGGTTCCTCGATCTCTGATCTCTTCATTCTTCTTTCTTTGCAGCTGGCTTTTCTTTCTCCGAAGGTGGATTCTGCTCTTGCTTTTTGACTGGTTGCTGACCAGCGCCTGCGCCGACACCCACCGTCTGTCCTGACTGGGCCTCAATGATAGCGTGTTCCTTTTTCACCAGTTCCTCCAGCTCTTTCTGGGAGGGGGGGGGGTGAGAGAAAAGAGAAAACCACGTAAGGAAGATAACCAAGAAATAAACACAAACTTAATTTGCTCAGAGTTGGCAAGCCACCCCCTTCCCAATGAGACCCCGGTGGGAGCCAAAAAGAACCCGTCCATTTCTACATCTGTTCTCTGTGGCTTTCAAATGGGAGAGGTACCTTCCATCCCAACAGCTCTGCCAAAGCCAGGCAGCCCTCATCGCAGTCTCCTAGCCAGGCGACGTCCCTGAAAAATTAAGCATGGTGGGAAAGGCCCCCAAACAGAATGGTGAATAACAGAACTCCAATGAATTGGTTTTTATACAGAGCTGACAAAGCTTTCCAAGTCAGATGCATCTTTTCTCCCAGCAATCTTTACAAACACCTTATGATCAGGTGGATCTCCCTAGCAGGATCATCTCCCTAACACAACTGGGCTATGAAGACCAAGAGTGTCCCAATGCTGCTTTTTTTCTCCAAGAGCTTCTTGGATGAGAAGCAAATGTGTTCAAAAATCTCCCAGAAAGTTAGTTGCCTCTTGGGGGAAAAAAGCACCTTTGGGACAATCATGACTCGGATGACTGAGAATCTCCATAGACCAAGACAAAGAATGGCCTCCCTGAAGCCACCCGGGGAGCTCAGCATATGAACCACAAAGCTGCATTAGAGACGCCAAGGGAACTGAGCATGTCAGAATCAAGAGAAACAAACAGCAATTATTGTCTTAAACTTGATTTTATTTAACTCCTCAGTGAAGCCTCTTACCTAAGACTGTTGTTTGGCACCAAAGCACCGAACAACACCCCACCTCCCATGAGTTAACCCTTTAAGTTCTCAGCGTCAACCCTGCCACAATCCTGCGCCCCGAAGTGAACTTGCCTGTATGCCTTCTCGGAATCAAAATCCATCCCGCAGCTTAAGCCCATCAGGGACATGAAAGGATCACTCTGAAACGAGACCAAAAAATAATAATGGAAGGACGTTCTCTTGGGGGGGCTCAAAGATGGTGACCATTTTCAGATGGGGGATCAGCAGGGAACTATCACGATACAAGCTGGCTCAGGAATTCTGGGCGTTGAACTCCACAAAATTGCCATAATTTTATGGTAGAGAGTAGGGAAGATGACCTGGATGGCGATACGCAGGCTAGGCTGAAAAGCATTTTTTTTTNCAGAATCCCCCAGCCAGCTGTGCTGGCTGGGGGATTCTGGGAGTTGAAGTCCACAGGACTTAAAGTCGCCAAGGTTGAGAAACACTGGTTTAGAGAGTCCCTGGAGGCGCTTGGAGGTTTCTCTGTGTCCTCAGGGTCACCTGAGTCATGCAAATGATTCCTGTAGTCTGCAATTTTGTTTCGAAAGGTCTTCAGAGGAAAAAAAAACAAGGAAGTCCAGTTGCCTCCTGAAAAAGCACCTTTGGGACAGCCCTGATCTGGAGGACGTAGAATCCCCGTAGACTTTTAATCCTCTTCTAATGTTAAGACCATCTGAAGGTATTTTTAAGCACCGGTTTGAAAATACCGCTTAAGGTTGGATTGTTCCGTGACATTGCCAGGTGTCCCCCGTTTACCTCCCAGGGACAGAAAGCTCCAGTACCAAACCAACTCACCTGGATTGTCTTCAAGAGGGAAAAGGTCAACAACCTTATTGTCACTTTCGGGTAACCGGAGGAAGAGGGTCTTGGCATCGTCCTTCCCATTTCTAGCAACGATGAACGCCTGAAAGTGATGAAAAACGGAGACGCTGGAAAATCACACCCCAAAGCAAAACCATCGCCACCTCCTAAACACCCACTTCTCTCACCCTTCCGATAGGGTTTATTTTGTGTAAGCATTTTTTAAATTGAATTGTAAAATACAAAACCCAAAAGTAAATAGAAGAGCAGTGAGGGGGAAGAGGAGAAAGGGGGAAGAAAAGTGAGGAAAGATAGCAGGGGAGGAGAAAAAGAAGGATTAACTTCCGACTCTCTCGGTTACAGTGAAATAAGGCATTAACATCAAATCACAACTTTTTGCTTTTCCACAATAGTATAATAAACAAGCCATTTCTATAAAGAACCCTTTTGGTAGGATTTATAATTATGAAATTTTGATGCAACCCATCTCCCTGTGACAGCCACTCTGGGAGGCTTACAGTAGAATCAGAAAGTAATAAGGGATTAAAATTGAGAGGATTAAACAGGGAACTAAAAAAATAAAAGAATGGGTTGCATGGGGATGTTATCTTCTCTATACCCTGCCTGCTACCCAGGCCTAGGGTGCCCCCTATCAGGGTGCGAGGCCAGCCAGCAGAACCAGGTTTAAGGCTCTTCTCCAATGGATCCAATCTCAACAGATGTGGATATCCGTTTTGCAGGAAAGAAATCCTGGGCAAACATTTTAGTCCTTCTAAAAAGGGTTAGTTAGTCACCCCTGGTTGGCGCGACGAGAGCAGCCTCTTGACTTGCTCCAGCTGGACATCCAGAAGCTCCCAAACGGCCCTCGTGGCCGAGAGCCTGTTCAGTAGTGGGATGCGACTGCTGGGTTTTCGCCCCGCTGTTTCCTGCGACCTACAGAGGAGACGCAAACGAAAGAGGCCAAATGGATTTTGCGCTGCCAAAAAACCCCTTCCAGCCTTGTGTGCCAATGTTAATATAATATACGGAGTAGAAAGGACAGCATATAAATTCAATAAATAAATAAACACATTTCGACCACGAGATGGGATTCTTAGCATGGGTTGGTTTTATTAAAGCTCCTGCCATTGCAAAAGCAGAGTTTATTGCTCCCCTGGTTGTGTGAGCCAGCCAGCTGTTCTTTATTCAACGAAACAGGAGAATGGAATCAAAGAGCTGGAAGGGACCTTGGAGGTCTACTAGTCCAACCCCTTGCTCAGGCAGGAAACCCTATCCTGTTTCAGACAAACGGTTGTAAACAAACTTCAATTATTTTATCATTTTTTATTTTATTATTTTTAATTTCTTCTATATTGTGTTTTTATGTCCTGTAAGCCGCTGTGAGCGAATAGGCGGCAATATAAATCTTCCAAATAAATAAATCAATCCAATGCAGCAAAGGAAGTCAACCCAATATGCGATTTGCCATTTTCCTGGGATAGTTTCGGCAGAACTGCCTCGCCGTCAATGGGTGGAGAGTCCAGCCAAAATTTACTCCTGCACTGAGATCAGAGCAGTTGTTCAGCCAATCAGCTGTTAGGCACTACATAACATCGAACGTTGTAGGTCTAGAAGTGACACAAGAGCATCCTTGGATGTCCTGCCATGTTTCTCAACTTCGGCATTGTATGGACTTCAACTCCCAGCATTCTCCCTTATCTCCTCCTAGGAATTCTGGGAGTTGAAATGCACACATCTCAAAAAGTTGTTGAGATTCGGATTAGATGCTCTTCACATAACCAACTGGGCAACAGGCATTCCTCTTTCTCGACCCAGACACGCAGACCCTCTCCTTACCGAGACCCTGGTCCTTTGTGCTCCTTGCTGGCATCAACCATGATCTCCGTCATTGCTCATTCCCACGAGACTCCAGTTAATCCCCAAGCCCTCTTCTCCGGATCAAACTTTCCAAACTGTTTTTCTTTGTGGGAGGGGGGTGTCTCTGAATGTTCTCCTGGAGAAACAGAAAACATCGGACAGATGAATCTGAGCCCCAGGTGGAGAAACGATAGCAGGAGCAAAAGACGTGTCCGTGGCCCAAGTAGACTAAACAGTGTCCTGAGGAAGGCGTGACTTATTTGGGAGATGGGCAGATGTTTGCACAGGACAAGTAAATAAATAATTTTGCTATCGTATTTGTATTTGTATTTTATTATTTGTACGCCGCCCTTCTCCGGGAGGACTCAGGGCNTTGGCAACCAAAATTGGGACCTGCAACTTGGTTAAGGGAAGCACTTGCTAAGTGTAGCCACAACTGTAGTTGTGATCTTATTAGAGCCTATTTGAAAGTCATAAATGCAAGAATTGATTGCAACATTAATTTTTTTATCATCGTAATTGCAAAAGGGTTGTTGTACGGAACAGTCACTAAATGAGGACTGCCTCTACTGAAGGAATTCAGTCCCATCCCTCCTGGTGAAGAAGGGAAAGACTTTCCTCCACAATTTATGGCCCAAAACATCCCATAAATTGTCAGTTCTGTTTCTTCCAGAAGGGGATATTTCACGCAAATAAATTAAAAACTCTCAGGTGGAAAAAACTAACTTCTTAGTTAAAGGACATTTTAAGGATCTGGTTGGCAAAATAACTCTATACTCCCCCAAAACCTCCTGCTGAGGTTTGGATACCCAAATTACGTGCTACTAAGGAAGAATTTCCCAACCTTTGCCGGTTTTAAATATATGCGATTGACAATTCTGGTGCCTCATTGTGGTCCCACATGTAGACGAAATTACTTGGCATTAACCTGAACAGAAGTCAGGCCATCCCTCAAAGGGCCGCTGCTGTTGTTTAAAATGTACATTTCATCTCATGTATGTTTAACAACACTTTCCCTACTTACTGTTGGGAGACTTGAAATGGAGCACTCTACTACAAATTTGAAAAAGTTACTTGTCTAACCTTGAGTGCATCCAACACAAATTTGAAGTAAGATGTTAAAAAGCTGTAAGCTGTTATGAGCCAAGTCCCGGAATAAAGCATTAAGTGGACTTCCAAGGAATTGTGACAGGCATTAAATGCCTTTGACATCACAATGCCACCTCGGTGGAGACAATCCAAGGACTAATAGTAATAGTAGTAGTAGCTTTAGCCTAGTGTAAAATATATGATTGTCACAATACTAGTATATATATTTTTCTACTGTGCCTTCCTACTTCGATTCATTTATAATCCAGTATTGCACTGGATGTTGTTTTTCACATACAAAGCCATACAAGGAACATTTTAGCTGTCGTCCTGGCCTAACATTCCCTTGGGCAATTTTCAATACCATCTCTCAGATCTAAAGTGGATCAAAGAATAAGATAGCAGCCCAAGAATTAGGAAAAAGAGGAGGCAAGTGACTGAAGCAGGGAGACTGGAGGGCCTGAAAAGTTTTGTAAGTTTAAGCACATTTGCAGGAGGAAGGCTCAATTTATACAAGGACAACTTGGGAGAAGTTTTATTTTAACAATTCAGATGTTTTGTGTGTCAAAATGCACAAAAATATAGCGACATCTTTCTATCTCAAAAATCAAATAAAGCTCACTGTTATTATATGGGGTTTGAAATGTGTCTTGCTCAGGTAAAATTGGATTGGTTTATATATCAATACTTTTACTATAAGAATTTCCTTTATTCACATTTTTGCACCGCCCATCCATCTCAGACAGGGACTATCGTGGCCAATCTTTGTCTTCTCAGAGCCCATCATCATCATCATCATCATCATCATCATCTCAATCAGCCAAGCAATTCATTTCATCTCATTCCCAGATTTTCGGGAAAGAAATGGTGTGCGCCTTTTATCATCCTCCTCTAAATCCTAAATCGATCCTGGAACTAGAATTTTCTAGGAGGGAAAGTAAGCCAATGAAAAGTGCTCCATTTCATAAACCAATTTGTAAGAGCAGCCTTAAAAAAAAAAGGAGCTTATGGACTCTTTTTAAGTACATCAAAATGTTCGCAGCACAACAACATACCAAGTTCACAGATTGTCCACATTATTTTACATTTGTTTCTGGAAGACAGTAAACTTAGGTTTGCCCATGTACAGGAAACCCCCAATTGACGATCAAAGTTGAGTGCATCATTTCTGTTGTTAACCAAGATAGTTAAGTGAGTTTTACCCCATTTTTACAACTGTTCTTGCCAACTGTTAAGTGAATCTCGCTTTCCGGTTGACTTTACTTGTCAGAAGGTCACAAAAGGTGACCCCGGGACATGGGCAACAGTCATAAATACCAGTCAGTTGCCAAACGCATGAATGATGATCAGGCAACCATTGGGATGCTGCAAGGGACAGAAATTTGAAGACTGTCCATGAGTCAACTTTCTTCAGCGTCACTGTAACTGAGCAATCACTCATGGTCATAAGTCCAGCACTCCCTGTTCTGGGGGTAAGGCTTTCACAGCTGGCCTAAGTTGGGCTTCAGAATTTAGTGGCCTTGGTCTAGATTAGGCATTTTGTGGGCAACTGTGGCTGGCATCTTTCAAGGTGTCCTGCAGCAGAGCAGGGATAGTCTGAATCCCTCTCTCTGTAGCCAGATGACCTGGATGTTCTTTGTATGGCTTTGCTGGCTGTTTGCAATGCTCTGGGAATGGGAAGGATACATACTGAAGATAATGCTAACTATCATGTGGCTTAGTTCATCATGTGCAAACCCATCCTGAGAACAAAGTGACAGTTTCTTTTAAACAATGTCGGCGAACCCGCATATGATGTGCGTTATGTCAACATTGTGGCATGTAAAAACTATCAGCAGTTTTGCTAATATTGAAGAATTGGAGGATTATAGTGACAGAATTACAGTTTCACTGAATGAAATGCAATTTTTCTCGTCCTACCATTCTGTTGCATCAAAAGGAAAGACAGATATATGAAAAGGAGATCTCAAAACAATAGGACTCTTTTAAAAACACGAGATTCGCATCAGGGGGAAAAGGACTTCTAGTGTTAACCAGTCAAGAAATGTTCGGTGTTGTTGGCAGATACTTACTTTTTGGTTCCTAGGAAGGCATTAAAAGTAGAAGAAAGAGAAAGCATTAAAAGGAGAAGAAAGGAAAAGTAAAAATATTGTTTCTACAGGTAACAACAGAAGAGAGTAAAATGGCAAATCGCTGGAACAATACTGTAAAAATCACTACTCTGTGATTACACTTTGATTACAACATTTCTCAACTGTGGCAACTTTAAGCCTGGAGGATTTCAACGCCCAGAATTCCCCAGCCAGCAAAGTCCACCCATCTTCATTTTCAAGAAACATTGGCACATGCCAATGGTACAAGGACTTCTGCTGAATTCATAACTCCATTTTCCTTTAAGTCCAAAGTTAACAAATTTCCAATATGTCCCACCGTAGGACTACATATCTCCAAACCTCGAGAGTAACTAACTGCCCCCATATTTCCAAACGTTGAAAGCCGTGTTTCTCTATCATTTTAAACTTAAAATAAGCCCAGTTATGAAAAGAGTTTCCAAACCCCGATGATGGGAGAATTTATTTCAGATTCTGAATACATTAATTTTACTTGTAAACTAGCTGTTACATCCAGTTCCTCATTCATCATAAACCTATAACAAATTAATCATTTCTGGGCTAAGTTGTAAACAATCAAGATGAGTTCCTATTTAAAACATAGCAACAACACACCGTGGGTGGAACTTATAAAGCTATGAAGTCCACCATCAAAGCCACTGGAACTGACCTGCTAAAGCACATGACTTGACATACATGTTCTGTTGTGCATGTGGACAGCCATAAAAATCACCTACTATTCATAAATAAGACTCACAACAGTGCAATGTTTTAATTTAAGCTCTTATGCGCGAATGGCAGGTTATTTGCTATAGGATCAATGAAAGCATGCCTGAATTTGGTCATCACAAAATGTTTATACGTGTGCTAGAAAGAAAAACAGAGAAGACCAGTTAGGACAGCATGCCAGGTTGCCAACGAAAACAAATAGGTCTAGGACAGAAAGAGTTGCAAAAAAGAGAGAAAACCAGTAGCAGATTATATCTCATGATGTACCAATAAAGGAGAATATTTGCAGCTCAGGATTGACGTAAGAAGTCCTTGGTGCTCTCTGAACTTGCTTGTTTTCTTGCAAACGTTTCATTACCCTAACTGGGTAACATCCTCTGATGATGTTACCTAGTTAAGGCAATGAAACGTTTGCAAGAAAAGAAGCCAGCTCAGAGAGCACCGCATTCAATGATGTACATAAAAACTGCTGACAATCCGCATGCAATTAAAGCACCATATCCCGGTACAGCGCAACATTAAAAATTGAACAGGGACTGCATCCGAGAGAAGGGAATGACACAGCAGGCACGCAGGTGGCTCTTCGGGGATGCTCCGAGTCTTCTTTTTTTTTCAAGCAACTGGAGTAGATGTTCTACGTGGTGACTTGTGCTGAAGATGAGGCAGGAAGCAGAAAGCCTGAACATTTGTCACTAGAATTCCTTCCACAACTAGGAAACGCCACACTGGACAAAGCTACAGAGTCACAAATAAGATTGTGTGCAGAAACGTCACAAAGTACAGGTTATCTCTGACTTAGGAGAACAATTGGGGCCAGAAAGTCTCTCGCTATGCTAGGGGGCTCGTAGCTGACGCCTGCCGTTTTAAAATCTTTTGTGCTAAGGTTGTTAAGTAAACCATGCAGCTGTTAAGTGAATCCAGCTGCCCCCCCCCCCCTGGTTGGTTTTGCATGTCAGAAGCTTGCCTGGGGCAGTTGCAAATGAGGATCCTTGGGACGCTGGCTGCAACAGTCATAAGATTTTTTTTCTCAATGCTGCTCTACTTTTGAAGAGTTACTACGTCGACAACTGCCGTATTTCCCCCAGAATAAGACCCACCTGGAAAATAAGTCCTAGCATGATTTTTTCAGGATGCCCTATCCCAAAATAAGCCCCAGAGAAGATTGTCAGTCAGATGGACACATTCACTACCTTATTTCCCCCC